AAGTATGGGTATGCCCATAGCAACCAGAGCCCCCAGTTGGGATCTAAGCTGTACAGAAGCAGGTTTTGGAATTACAAGAATTCTAGTTCTCTGGGATTATCTGTTCTCAGCAGTCCTTATTATTGAAGAGACTAAAGCTGGGTGAAAGAAAACAAGTTTAGGACAGTAAGGACACAAAGAGAGGTTGAGTGAATTTTCTGGCATTGGTCTGTAACACCAAAGGGACTTTGAGTCCCCCACCCAGCACATTTTTGTAGGCTGATAAATCAGGAGCTACATCCATCTGAGACAAATAGACAAGAAATACCACAAGTCAGTGGGACCTGATGGCACTGCTTCCAATCTAATGTGAAAAAGCAGGACTGCTGGCTAAGATTTCAAAATTATTGCTACAGCTACTATGTCACAGGACTCAGACTGCCAGCACAGCTCCAAGAAAGGGTTCTGTAAGGAACTGGGGAACTACAGACCAGCAAGTCTGACCTTGATCTCTGAGAAGGTAACAGTCTGTAATAAAGAAAGTGGATAAACAGAGTCTTGTGAAAGTTAACAGGACTTCTGTAAACAGTAAATCCTTCCTCACTGACCTGCTGGAACTCTGAGGTTACCATTAAGAATACAGGTAGAGTGAATCCAGGAGATTTCATATTTTCAAACAGCACTTGACAAGAATCCATAGCAAAGGTTGTTAGTGAAACAAAGTTTATTTGGGATTGCTGGAAAAGTCCTTCTAGGGCCTTTAAAGATGTAAAGCTTTGCTAATGGATGCACAGACCAACATCTGATAGAGACTAGGCTGGAGGCACCACCAAGATGCACCCTGCAAACCTTCTGTGACACAACGTGCTTTACAGGCACTTAGGGAAAAGAGCTGAAGTCAGAATAATTTCCAGTCATGCTTTGCTTTTTTTTTTCCTGGTAGAAACCTAGTGCTCTTGAAGAAATTCACACTCTAACAGAACAAGTACTGGATTTGTTAAACTTTCAGGACTGTGGCAAAGCCTACATGTAATATGTATAGAAAAAAAAGATGGTATGTTAAAAAAAAAGAAAAAGTCTCTGCACTGCAACTGTCTCTGTTGAGTCCCCTCAAACAGGTGCCAGACACACTGTTACCCCTGCTAAACCAGAGCCTGCATCAGTAACTTGGGGATGAAATTACATAGTGAAAGGAAAACAAATTAGCCTGTTTATTACTTATCATCTGCACCTGCCATTGACTTACTGGTGGATGTTGCACAACCTAGAGGTAGATGCCTTTTTTTGTCTGTCAAGCAAAACCATCACATTTTTGGAGCCAGTAAGAGCTCTCTCTTCCCTATCAGTATGGCACCTCACTTACCAAGGGGCCCTTTTCCAGCAGCCTTTGCTTTCATCTCCTCAAGTTTCTTTTGCTCCTCCTTCTGCTTTTGTTTAAATGCCAGGTCTGTCTAAAGAAAAGAACAACAGTGGTTGTTAACATCTTCTCCCCCCAAGTCAATTCAAAAGCAACTGCAAGACAACAAACATAACCTTCTAACAGGAATAAAAACATGACTGAACTGAAGCAAGACAACTGAATGCTAGTAAATATGCAAAACCTTTAAGAAGGCTTTTTTGCTGTGACTTACCTTTCATATGTTTGATCTTTCTGAAATTAAACAAGATCGTTTCCCGTGGCATAATCCCATCCTGCCCTCTGAATAATCCATGTTTGCACCAAACCCATTCATTAATATGCCACCAGTGACACTGGGAGGCTAGCAGACAAGTGCTAAAAATAATACTTGGATTATACACAATCCAAGAAAAAAAAAAAAGGTGGCTTTTACCTGAAAAAAGCATTAATTTAAAAAATCCTTCCTCCCATATGTCCCTATTTTTGCTGAGTTTAATACATTTGTATTAGTTCCAAGAAAACTAATGAAACCACTGGCAAAGTTTAAGGGCAACTGTTGAGCATCCCTGCTAGAAGAGGCCTCTACAACTCAAAAGAGAGTTCAGACATACACTGTCCCTTAGCTATGTGCTCTTCATAGACATCAAGGCTGAAAGGGACCAGTCTTCTTCCTTGGCACGTGGGATTTGGGGGTAATTAAACTGAGGACTTTGGCAACTGATACTTTATAGATTCTTCACCAATCCAGTCCATGGCTCAACTACCTTTATCACTGGAAAGAATCACAGAATGCCAGGTTGGAAAGGACCTCAAGAATCATCTGGTTCAACCTCTCCAGGTAACACTATAGTTTATATGAGGTGGCTCAGCACCCTGTCAAGCTGAGACTTAAAACTGTCCAATGTGGGGGAATCAACCACTTCCCTTGGGACACTATTCCGAAGTTTGATTGTCCTCATGGTGAAAAACGAAAATATTGCTCAGACTCCAACTGAAGACAGAAATCTTGCAAAACCCCACTCGATCTGCCCTTGCTGTCAGACACTGAATTGTTGGCAGCTGCTTTTGGAGTGTGGCATTCCAGCCAGCTGCAGGCTCACCTCCTTCCACCTTCCGAGGCCCTGCTCCTGCCCTGCCTTTGAGAAGGTGCCAGGAGCCAGCACCAGGAACCTCATCCCTGCCGGGTTTCTCCTCACACCCAGAGCCCTGCTCTGCCACGCAGCAGCACTGCTTTGCTCGTACTAAAATCCATGATAACTTGGACCCTTCTAAGCCCTTACCTGCTTGTACCATTTCTCTAACAACAAAACTTACTGAAAAAGCCATGATAGATTTTTTTTTCCTTTCCAAAGAGACACCAGATCTGCCTTTTCTCCAATTACCGCTGCACCATCCGCCCCTGCAGCCCCCAGCGCACACCCAGCCTCTCAGCCCGTACATTTAAGTCTCTCTAACAGGAGATTCACTAGTACCTAATTTATTTAAACCCCTTGCTCACCCCCGTTCCTTGCACCCCCCC